GCAATTGGAAGAATATTTAGAATAATTATTTAGTAATATATAAATTTGAATCAAAGGTGAAATAATTCGTGCGCGAAAAGAGCAGAAAACAAGAAAGAAAAGTCTAGGGAATTATCTTAGGACACAGTCCGTTAACAAGGCCCTAGGCAGGCTGCTTTTACGACGTACATGTTAGGTACACTGTTATTGGAAGTAAAATGATGTTTATTGTATGACATAGCCCATCTATTTACGCTTTACAGGCGGCGAACAATACATTGCATAAACACTCATTTTGAATGAGTGTACAGGTGAGACGGAGGAAACACAAAATATTTTAACTAATTTCTATTTTGCTTCTTTCTGCTTGAAAAATACAGTTTTTTTTTAATGAAGTTCCTTTCGGCAAATTGAACTAAAAAAAATTACTAAATATTGTGATAGCTGTTAAGTTTCTAATAACAGAATAACGCTTCCGGTTTTTGTTCCTGTTTCTAAACATGTTTGACGTTCTAATAAGGTTTACTGATGGATGAGTGCGCGCGACCTTGAATCCTCTGTTAAATCATAATAAAAGTCACTGACATCATTGTTTATTTTCGTAGTTTATTACGACACACTGGGATACGGGAAGTTCAAAATCATTACGTAATACGAAGCAAACAACATCGATATGCCCCTGGGTATATTCAGAACATGAATATTCAAATTTGAATATTCTGCAAACTGTATAGATGATAGTTTTGATAAAAATACACGTGTGATAGCTACTAGTTAACCTCAGCTTAGAGAGTTTGCGTAGCAAATTGTGTATATCTGGTTCGGTGACTGTATATTTGAACCCATGCGTATATCCACGGGTTCAATCTATATGCGGGTGCTAAAACCCATGGGTTAGGGTTAGTATGGGTTTAACTATCCGTGAAACAAAAAAAATTCCATAGGTGCAATAGCATACAGGTGCATTTGCCATGGGTTCAAATGTACGTGGGTTCAAATGTAATGGAACCATCTGGTTCTAGTACCCAGAATAGGTCAGCTATCGTCTAGAAAAGTGGTTCTCAAACTTTTTTTCTTGCGACACACTAACTAAAAATTAAAAAAAACGCGACACACCTATTAAAAAACAAAGTTAATTAAACAGCATGCAAACTTCAATACCACGGGGAAGTAAATGTTTTGAGAGTAGATATGATTGAAATCGATGTTATGACTTTGCGAATCACACAGTCTGAAAACCACTAGACTCTAGAAGACTTGACTAATAGCATAACATGAGAGCACTAGAATGATAAATATTAATAAGTGTAGTGCAATACGGTGTGTTGGCAGCGTAGGCTGGTAGCCCACCACCTCATCCAGAATGCATGAGGTTGGGTAGGTTATACACAAAACTGGCAGATTTTGTAGAACCTTGTTCAAGGCGGAAGTGTAATTGGGTAAAAGAGTCACCTTGGGTAAAAGACCCAAGGTGACAACTTGCAATCGAGCCTGTCGCAATCTTAGCGCGAGGTCAGTGATTTCACAAGATTTTTACCGCTAATAGAGGCGCGACACGCCGGCGGAATAGAATGAAAAATATCGGATTATAGAAAACAGAATAAAAATTTGAATTTCCAGCGCAATTTGCATTCCTCGCCTGATCCCTAACTAGATGATTATTAATTTTTTTTATTTTGAGCTGTGGCGGGGATGTTTTTTTTTTTGCGGGGGGGGGGGGGGGGGGGGCTTTGTACAAACGATCCTATTTATGTAGACCAGAATCTTAAGTTGCGAACTCTCCGTCGCGGTACCTTTGCATGTGGATCTGCTGAGGTAATGTTATACTATTTCAGAGATAGCACTGTTTATGGAAAGATGATAGTTGTTTGTAATGAACAGCAGCCTGACTCAAATTCGAAATTTCTTCTGGCGCTTGACTATTAGGGCCACTTTCAGTTACGAATGTAAATGGCAAAAAATTCAATTTTAGAGATCACCCGTAACAGTTTTCCTCGAAACACATAAACAGTGTCACGCGATAGGAGAATCACTCGAGCGGAAAGTCAACAAACATGTCAAAACCTACAGTTAAAAATAAGCAAAAAATTATTGACTTTTCAAGTAACTCTCTATACGATCCACCATCGTAATAATGTACTTTCGTGAACTCAATATGATTGCTGACTTATTATATGAAAGTCTATATTAAAGATATATGTATAGCGATGTAATTTGCCGACGTTTCGAATTTATATTCAGAAAACTTCATCAGGGCGCTTGGTAAAGATACCAGTGTATATATAGAAAGAGTAGAGTGGCAAAGGCGTAATAATCTATTATAGTAAAATATCGCGATGTTATATTAGATAATACGCCTTGATAATTTTCCTTACTATTTATAGTTTATCCTTTATAGAAATTCGAAACGTAGGCAGGTTACATAAATTTGCTGGTTGTGCCTTATATATTCCCAACGCGAAGACACCGGGTGACAATTAATGCGTTGTCAAGTATATTTTGTTACATAAAGATTTTAGTAATAAAACTGTTGCTTTTCCAAATATTTTTACAAGAATGCTAATGGCTTCGCAAACAGTGGGTCGCGTGCGCGGAAACGCTTTGGCAAGAAGTGTTTATTGTGAGATAGAGTAGATGGCCTAGTGCAGAGGTTTCCCAATCTGTTTTCAAGCGACCCAATTTTTTCGAAAAATAAAGTTTGTAAAATCTGGCGACCCAGATATTCTACGGTACTAAATAGCATTTAGTGCTTCAATGGTGGACAATGAAACAAAACGATCACTTTTGTTGAAAAAAATAGCGCTCCCGAAATATGTGCACCATGATGGCGCACAACCTGAATCCTAACCTGGTATACATACTATGTTCAGGTTGTGCGCCATCCTGGTGCACATACTTCGGCAGCTCCGAAAAAATAAGCGCCTAAGGAGTATTTTCATGGTGACTTCGTACAGAAACGGGCATTTTTAATGCATACAGTATAGCCGATATTTCGAAATTAGTCCCCATGAGTAAAAGGTATTTATTGAGTAATAGGTAAAAGGTTTTCATTTCATACCGGATAGCAAATATTTTGAATCTAGTCCCCCAAGCGTAAGAGGGCCTTCCGAGAAAAACACTTCCCGTTCTGAAAACAAACACTTCGTATTATCTTTCCAAATGCTCTTGACATACATGCGTATGGTCTCGCGTCAGCCTTCGAGAAACGATAAGAAAAAATCCCGGTTGTGTTTAAGTATTTCTGCGAAGCTGGTTTGTATCAGATCAAGATAGAAGCGTCTGTGGTCGGTTTGATTTGAGTGACGCTGTCTGGCATAGTTTATTAGGTAAAGAAGGTTATCGCTGTTATGTGACTTTTGGACACCATATGCAGAAAATAGAAACCAACGTGCCAACGGAATAATGTGATAGTCTATGTGTCGAAAGTTTTCATTTAATTTTCAAGTTGTGTTTGAAAGAACATGAAGGCGGCTATCGCTGTCATGTGACATTTGACACCATATGCAGAGAATAGTAATGCCAACGAAATAAAGTGATAGTTCATGTATTAAATATTTTTTTAAAAGGTCGAGAAAATTTTTGTGATAAATACAAAAAATGTAGTTTTATTTTTTGATTGACGTACATTATTCAAAAAATTTTAATTTTTCTCATTCATTTATGATGAATGTACAGATAAGTTCAACCGATAACAAAACAGTTCGGATGATTAATTATTCCTGTTTTGAGGAAAGTGTATATAAACTGAATATTAAAGTATAACCTGAAAATTTACTAGAAAAAAAGCAGTAGCGAGGTATGTTTATAAATTTGAGTTCAGGGGTCGTGCACTATTTGCAAGCCTAAGTGGTATTTTCCGAAAAGGGTCATCAACAAAGGATTTGCTAAATGAATGGTTTGCTCTATTCCACCACACTATTTGCTAAATTACTATTACTGTTGGATTTTGCGTGTTTCGCTCCGAAAGGGGCGAATGAACAAGCAGTATAGAGGTGCACTACACTATTTGCCAACGTACTTTTAGGGTGGTATTTGTGTCTTCTGAAATGGGTTGTTAAACTAACAGATTTGTTAAATGAATGGTTTGACCTATTCTACCGCACTCTTTGCTAGGTTACTATTACTTTTGTATTTGGCTCCGAAAGGGGTGAGTGAACTAGCAGATTCACTCGAGCAGTTTATCGGGTTTACTGATTCACCCTGCATTGGAGGAAGATAATATATATTATATACGAATATTTTGAGGATTCATATTATTCAGTGTGTTGTTTAAAATTTATTAATACTCAGTTTACCCAAAACCAAATCAATTAGGTAATCGCGTAGTGTGTGTACCAAGTTAGGGTTAGGCCATAATATTGTTCCGATTTTCCTTATTTTAGTTCTATAACGAGTTCAGAGATTGTCTTTGTTAGCCAAGTGAATATAGCCCCTGTCCATAAGTTTCAGTCCCTTTACACAACTTGGTGTAAAATAGGCGACCAAAATAAGTTACCTCCATATTGGTACACATCACTTCTGGAGCGCCCTCTTTGCTAAATTACTTCTACTGTTGTATTTTGCGTATTTCACTCCAAAAATGGCGAATGAACTAGCAGATTCACTTAATTAAGGAGTTCACTGTTTTCAGACTTAAATTAGAAAAAAGAGAATACAGGAATACTATAGCTGGGATAATATGATATTGAGGGGGTTTCTGATTCACGTTGCACTGGAAGAGGAAAATAAATTGTGAAAAATATTTTAAAGGATAATTTTATTCAGTGTGTTGTTTTACGGTTTTTGTTATGAATATGTTTATCTGATATCACTACCAAAATTAAATTTAACAAAAATCATTATTTGCTACAAAATTCATTTATACTCAGTTTACCCAAAACCAAATCAATTATACGACAAAATTGGGAATATCCTTTAAAATACGATTATGGCCATCCCATAGAATAGTTACTATTTCTAGTTTTGTTTTTTTGCATTTTGTTTTTTCTGTTCAAATGTTTCTAACTCATTTTGTAGTTCTAAGTACCTAGATACCTGAAGAATATAAAGCAAAAATGTCGAAATACTCAATGTTTTCTGTGTCATTAATTTTGACAATAACGATCTGCCATGCAGTCAATATCGCGAGCCATCAGAAATTAGACTGCAGTTTCGAATCTTCTGAACTAGGAAGAGTGAAACCGACTAAATGTGGATATACAAGAGGATGGGATGGAATGCTACGTGGAAATTGGAAAGTAAAAAATGTGTCGAAAGACGGAAAAATTGGTCAGTATAAGTCTATTGATGTTTCGAAATTTCTAGGGCCAAAGTTAGTTGGACAAGGTTTATGATCTTAAGCTGGAGGACGCGAAAGGTCACAAGATGCCCAGGAACAAACGTGGACTTTTTTCTTGCTTACCTAATTCAATAATTTTGAATTTTATGCAACCCTCAATTTTGCTTCTTGTGATTTATAATGATGTATTAATATGTTGTTCATATGCGTGCACAGGGACCCTTTTTTCAATGTCACAATAAAGTACGCGTGATGAAAAGCATTTGGCCTTTTTTCAAAGCAAAAACGGGGCGAGAAGTTCGTAAACTTTCCCAAAGGTGGGCGCGGATCAAACAGTTTAAGAAATAAATTGAGAACATGACTACCCTAATTAAGCATCTAATTGTTGAATTCGCAAGCATGGAAAAGGTGGTCGTTTGAAATTAAGAGTGCACCACTGAGATTCCAAGAGTTGATGATTGAATAGCAATCATATCTTTTATACAGCGCAAATACTGGCCGAATGCAGGTCTTGTATATGTGAATATCAATATCGTGTTTGTTCCAGTACGGGCGTTTACGCTTACATATTTAATATTTCTCTATCACGTGAAATTTTGCTATATAATACAAGTCATACATAAATACATACAAGGGGAAAATTCCTGACATTTACTGAAACTCAGGTTTAGTTAAATCACAGGTTGGGGTAAATAAAAACACAAATAACCGCGCAGTTATCCCATACCCACCTCAAGACCACGTTCAAGGGCAAAAGTGATAACCTATTAACAAAGACCGGGGTCTTTTCGAATCGGTTATTTCCCTAGTTTCCCGCATAAGTTTACCACTATGTTCGTGCCCATAAAGCCTCTATACAGTTTCAATTTTGTTATGAAGTCAGTTTTCGATATATCTCAACCAGGTTTGTATCTTTTAATCCTTAATGGTTTAAGTATTTTTACTTCATTTACTACATCTGTGACTGTGAGGGTCAAAACAATTTATGATAACGATAAATTATTCCTTTTAGAATTTAAAAAAAAATTTAAGATTCATGGAGACCATATAAATTGGGTTAAAATTCACAATGGATATTTACCTAATTAGAATTCCCTTTTGTGATTATTTTCAGTTCGCCAAAGTGGATATTTTGCGTATTACGAAGCTCGTCGTCGTCCTGCAGGACACTCTTCAAAATTCGTCAGTCCGATTGTTTCTGTTTATGACGACATGTGCGTAACGTTTTATTATGTCAACAAAGGAATAAAGACATCGTATCCGAAAGGAAGGTCAATGTTGAAAGGTAAATGGAATTTACAAACAAATGGAACAAATTTTCTATATAAGATACAACAATAACACAAGTTGGTTCAGAGCAAGGTTACAAGCTCTCGATTAAAACCATCAACATGACGCTTCGGCTCTTATATAGGTTTCTTGGAGGGTACACCAAAACTGAATAAATGTATGTTCGCATACTTTCAAAAAAGGAGTCCGTAATTACTTTAATGGCGATACATGACGAAACATGAAAATTAACTGAGCATATTCAAATTATCTCACATTCTTATACCTTGGAAATTCAGTCGGGAAAAGTTTCACCTGGCTCCAGCTATTCAAAGATTTCGTCTATCACGACCTTAGTTTAATAAAACCTTGTCTTGAATTAATTGCAAAGCCTTAGTGCAGGGGTCGGCAACCTACGACCCGCGGGTCGGATCTGGCCCGCGACGCTTCACTGAAATATAGTTACAAAACAGCTGTTTTTACGATTATATTCTTTACCTAACAGGATTTATTGTGAGACACATGTAGACTAAATTATATTATAATCTAACAAGTATAAAATTCACAATCACCTGTTCAATGAGTCTATAATGAAATTATAATTGAAAAAATGGCAACAAAACGCAGAAAAGTTGATGCTAAGTGCAAAGGGTTCAATGGCGCCGAAAATATTCAAATTCGAGAGATGTATCACTGCTTGATTTTTATTATAAAAAGTTCGGTTTTCAAATTTCTAAAAATATGTGCGGCCCGTCAATGACTTGCAACCCTTAATTTTGGCCCGTGAGCAACAAAAGGTTGCCGACAATCTGCCATAGTGTATGTAAGCATTTTGAGTCGCAGTTGAAAATTTATGCCCGAACTCGATATTAAAAGTTTAAATTCCAACTCCCGACAATATATAATTCCGACACAAACTTCGGCAAATTTGAAAAGGCGACTCGGACCTCAATATCGACAAACTCAAACTTTGCCATGCCTTCCAAAAATCAATCCCTAATCCACATACCAATTGACTATATCAAATATTGTGTTGTAGTTTACTTTTCTCCAAATGGAATGAAAGAAACCAAACCATTGTGGATTTCGACTGAAAGAACGAGCAAGAATAAATGGAGAAAAGCTACAGTTCCGCTATCGAAAGGAAGTCTGGGAGAAGTGAGTATTTTTATTATCAAATTGAAGTAAAAAGTTGACGTTGTAATATAAAAAGTCATAAGTCATAGAGTAAAATATGCCGCCATAACAATGTTTTGCATGGCGCGTCAATCTTGTAGGATACGCCGAGATAGATAGCGTTCAAAATTGAGTATTTGACAGGCGGAATTCTAAAATACCAAATCAATTTCGATAATTTTATTGAAACATTTAGAATATTAAATTGAAGCAAAAAATTGACGTAATATCAATATCATGGGTCAGAAAGTAAAATTTGTAAAGCGCGTCTTTCTCGCAGGATACGCGTTCGAACTTGAGTACGGGTCAGACAGAATTCTAGAATACTAAATCAATTTGGAATATTTTGACAAACTTTTATTAAATAACATAAAATAAGGGAATTGCTTGAACTATTCTAAAAGACTAGATTAGATTGCTAGATTACTTTGAATTAGGTATATCGCGTCATTGGCCCCGAAAACGCTATGACCAATCTGATTTGCTGGGTTGGTAAATTAACTTGACTACTATAAAATGACAGTTTATATTACCACGGCTTTTATATGTGCGTTCTCTTCATTTCACCACATAATTCATAACGGGAGCCATAAACGTGTTGGCGGTGTTATATTTCAAAGCATGTATGCGACATAAATAATGTTCAATATTGTGATTTGAGCGCGAGCAATAAAATAGCATTTTATTTGCACAAATGACTACAAAGACAGATGATATATTTTGAAAAGTCTGTTCCGCACGAATGTGTTTGTCTGTCTCAATCTGTTTGCCACACAGGCGCACAGATCCCAAAATAAATAAAGTATAAGATTAATGAATAAGGCATGTAATCTTATAAATAGTATAAATATAGATACAAACAATAAAATATCACGGTTGAATACGATTAACATTCTATGATTAAAAATAAGTTATATCCGTCAATCGCAAGAACAAGGTTTTATTATTCAATTTCTCATTTTGTTCAGATGTGGAAATTTAGTATTTTTTTACAAATGTATCCATGTTAAATAATGGTGAGACTAAACAGCTTAAATTTCATTTCATTGTTCAAAGATTTTGAAACATACGAACTAACTTGGTCTCGTTGCACACAAAAAGCAAATCCCATACTATAACATTTCGTCTATCCAACGCCAAACTGCTTCAAAGTTGCTTATTCAAACCTGAGCAAATATAGTTCTACGCAGTTGAATAACGCCTGTTTAGAGTCTGACAGGTGGAACGTTACAAAAATACAGGGTGTCTAAAATATTTCGCCCTATTTTATAGTAATAAGTCAATGACAATCAAAAATTTTGCCGGTTTCCATAGTAATACCAATTGTAAGTTTAAATAAATTTCATTGTATAATAAATGAGAACTATAAGCACAATAAGAACTATTAATAAACAAGGACAAAGAAATTTTTCTTATTATAAAATCAGGCAAAATTTTTGGTTACCGACTTGCACATACCGATCCAGCAAATAAAAATTCATATAACGATAAAAGCCGCAGCAATTTAAAATACTATCTCACATTTTGAACGATCTCTCCTTTTGACATACCAAATTCGAGATGATGGTATTTGTAAGATTCAGTCTTTTATTTGGACCTAGTTTAGATGAGATCTGAAAAATATCAAATACATCTAACTATTTTTAAAACTTTCCAATTATCGCTGAACGTTTTAATAAAAAACGCGGAAACCTGCAATCAAATACTCGACTTCTAATTACAGAAGAAGTGTAAAGAATGTGTAATATGAAACTTAAATTGGTACTAATTTGACACCTGATTTATATTAACTAGTGTTTTATAATAAACATAGGTGGTAAGTAGTGAACTAATGTTCTCAAAATGTCGAAATCACTGGTTCACAATTTTTTTTTGTGGCCCAGTAGGGCACAGTTTCTCCGATTCCAAGATGTCGCGACATTCGAGAGTAAAGAATGTGTGCTATGGTACTCAAATTGGTTTGAAAAATGAGAGGTATAAAATTATACGTGCCAACGCGGGAAGCGATTCTGAAAGAAAATATTGTTACTTTAAGTGTTTTAATTTTAAATTCAATAAAATTCGTCGCAAGTTTGCTAAATTATAGATTATTAGACAAGCGCAATGACCATGTTTTTTTGCTACGCTGTCTTTTCGATGAGAAGAGTTTTTTTTAGAATAAGAAAGGCCTAATCATAAAATATTGTAATAATTCGAAATTTAAAATTTTTAATTTAAAACCCTGCGTACTTTGTTATAACGATTCGCGGATGACTACAAACACTATGGTTATAAAATACTATTTCAGCCAAAATAACAAAATAGATTATAAAGATCTACCAGTCGTTCTTCAAAACAAATTAATAAGTACTTTAATGGTCAACTAACGGGTATTTCAATTTCCGATATACCGTTACGTTATATCTTTTGTCATACCATTCTCCCATCTTCGTGCGAAACTTGAAATTTAGCAAATTGTCTCATCTTATTTTGCCTTTTTACCTCGAAGAGTGTAGAATTTTTGAAATAAAGCACATCCTTAAGAATTTGTGCGTATAATAAAGCCAACGGGAACAATGCGATCTTAACTAAGTTTGTCACAAAACAAAAAAATCCCAGCAATGTTCCGGATGTCAAGTGTTAATCGAAATTCTAGGCGTTTAACAAAATACATTTCCACAAAAGATAGGAAGTTTTTGGTGAAGTCTCGCAACAAAATAGACTTGAAAAATGAGAAATGAAGGCGAAAGTCTACACTACTGTACTTGAATTGTACGAGTAATTCAAAACTAAGCGCTTCCGTCGCAATTTGCGGTCCGCTGCCCAACGACAGCGGTTACATAATGCCGATTTTTAAGGGAGAACAAGTAGTTAAAACGGCGCTTTTTTGCTTATTTGTTGGACCATATTCAATCTATGTCGTGCTATAATAACTAGAGCGTTGACCTATTTAATTACAATGTTATATATTATTAAAGACATGGGATTCAATACTGGACAGTTTAATGTTCAATCTGAAAACATACGTCTTCCGAAAAGTGAAGGATTCTTGCAAATGAATGAATCATGAATACTTTGTCGGACACCAAAAATTGAGAATTTAGTAGTGTTTCGTCGGATTTACTCATGCCTAGATACAAACGAAAAAAAAATCTAAAGCAAAATTCTAGTACTATGCCGGCGCATAAAATGGTTTCTGAATAATATTATACCATCAATACGTCCTAACACGTATTCATGGGTTTCTGTCGCCTAAAACAACATTAGCGTTAAAATATTTGACAGTAATGTGCTTCTTGTGACCCATTCTGCGCTGTTTGTTTTGCATGGTTTAAATTCGCGACAGGTGGTCTGATATTATGACGACATAAAGGGGCGTGAATGCGTAAATAGAAGGTTTTTCGCGCCCTCACGTGCGAAGGAATCATCAACAACGTCTCGTGTAAGCTAACCCCACGGCGCACTTGGGGCCTAAGTGGGTAATTGGGGGTGTATTTTGGGGATTAAATGAGTGCGTCCAAAAACTCCATGTTGTCTATCATTGAGACTTAATGTCTCTTGCGACGCGCATAGTTTTATCCATATAAATCTGCGCATATCTTTCAAAATATTGCCATGATATCAGTGCTAACGCGAATATTGGTGGGCTAACAATATAGTTTTAGATATTAATGATTGAAACTGCGCAGAGTAACATGGTTATTATACTCACTCTATTATTCTTATATTCGATAAACCAATGACTAATTTTTTCGAACAATCAAATTTAAATAAACGCAATCAATTGCGCATAAGCGTAGATTGTTAGTAGGAAAATAGTTGGATACTAGCAGTAAGAGATAGAGCAAAGCGTCTTATATTTTACTAGATGTCGTTTTATAGATTAAAAATTCATTATTCGACTTCGTAATATTTTGTTTTAGATTGTAAAAGACATTGGAGACATCTCGCTTAAACGTACTTAAAAGGTCGGCATCTGTTAGTAAATATTGTACGAATTTTTTTTATGTTTGTATTAATCAATGTTAGATTTAGGTGACGCTGCTCAATAACCATTACTGGTTTATCACGGCTCCCTTCACGCCGAAATACATTATTTTTATTTCACCTTACTGTTTGTACACTTTTGTATTTTCGGTAAAATAATAAACGAGAATATCGATCAGAGACCGAAGACTTATCGGTCGAAAGTTAGAGGGATCACCCAAAACAGCGCTCGTTCTCCATAGTGACATCTTGTGTCCCATCACTAATTAATTATTAACTTGCTAATTATACGACAGAATTCGCCCAAAATCAATAGGCTTCTGGTCCGAGATATGATGAATGCACATGCAAAATCTAGAGCAGATTCCATCTCGCTTTCGTGAGATATCGCGTGCATCTAACAGACAGACAGACAAATACCTATCAACATACTTACCGATTAAACTCGATAAGTAACTACTGGCTGACCAGTGTGATCTTTATTAGTGTTTGATTTGCCAATACTTGTAGAGTATTTTCCCATCAAAAGATCAACGTGCCGATGTAAGCTCACACATAAATTGAACGAAATTTCATAAATAGTTACTATGAGGAGCCAATCCCATTTTGCACTTGAAAATCGAGTGGTTTCGTGAGATTACAGCCGTTTCTGGTTTCGAAAAGTTGTTTTACAATACAAAGGTGTACGCATTGCATATTATGGTAAACCTTGCTGATAGAGATTGCTATTAGTGACATAACGGTTACCACAGCAAATAAAAACTGACTGTCGAGTGTCAACTAAGAAGACGCCAAAGCGTCAGACGTATCGACGATAAAAATTGATTTTAGCGCCATGTTGTGGTTTTTGTTGATTTGTCTCTGTCGCTGACGAGACATTACTAACAAGTATATTATGTATGAGCATTTACTTGCAAACCCCAGGTTCAGAGTTAAGTCTCACTCGACTTTTGAACATCATATTTTTCTGACGTCTCTATAGCAACAATGAACAAAACAATATGCGCATTTTGTGA